CCCAAGCACGCTTAACTTCGGAGTTCTGATGAGATCCGGTGCATTAGTGCTGGTATGATCGCACCCGTCAACGTATGCGCGTTTTATTCTTTTGATAAGCTGACCGGCGCGGCCCTCTGCTTTCAAACGCGCATAACTTTTCGTGTCGGATGAATCGTGCAGCCCACAGCATATGCCCGCGATCCTCGTTCTGAGGAGAACGTCGCGCCAATTGGGCTTCGCCCCATTGGCACCGGTCTCGATCCAAAAATCGGCCGTCTAGGCCTCCGTCCGGGCCATTTTCTGCCTTTCGGTAAAATCCGTTACTCATTTTAAGAAAAATTCGATGGAAGAGATAAAAACAAGAGGATAATAACAGTCCTAAAACAAATAAATATCCCGACTATTTGAAATGATATTAGTAACTCAACTTTTTTTCAGCTAGTTATACGGCCTCCATCCTATAAATTTTATGAAAAGTAAACGTTATTGAAAAATTTGTACAGTGGTTCGTGCATAAGAGCAATACATATTGGTTATACCGCTNTATCAGTGTCGAGTAAGCGTTAAAAATTACAAATCGGCCGTCTAGGCCTCTGTTTAGGCCATTTTCTATCTTTTGGTAAAATCAGTTAGTCAATTTTAAGAGAAATTCGATGGAAGAGATAAAAACAAGAGGATAATAACAGTTGTAAAACAAATAAATATCCCGACTAATTGAAATAATATTAGTAACTCAACATTTTTTCAGCTAGTTATACGGCATCGATCCCTTATATTTTATAAAATGAACATTATTGTAAAATTTATACAGTAGTTCGTGCATAAGAGCAATACATTTTAGTAATACTGCTCATTTTTTTTTCTTCTTATTAGTGCCGAGTAAGCGATACAAATTACAAATCAAACGACTGTAGATCTATTCCCAAAGAAAACGATGCCGATGGTACGAAAAAAGGGGTGCAATACAAGAACTTCCTAGAGGATCACCCATCCTAGTACTACTCTCGCCCAAGCACGCTTAACTTCGGAGTTCTAATGGGATCCAGTGCATTAGTGCTGGTATGATTGCACCCGTCAATATATGCGCGTTTTATTGTTTTGATATCCTGTCCGGTGCAGCCCTCTGCTTTCAAACGCGCTTAACTTTTAGTGTCGGATGAACCATGCAGCCCACAGTATATGCCTGCGATCCTCGTTCTGAGGAGGACGTCATGAGGGTCAATACCCAAGTCATGACTAGGTTGATCGGGTCCTTTGCTACTCAGTCTGCACAAACCACCAAGATAGTTCGGGTTTCAAAAACAATGCTCTGAGGTCAACACATACATTGAGAGGTAGGGTTTCAGATCATGGATGGACACGTCTTTCAGGTTTTCGGATAAGCCCAACGCCTACTTGGAAGCGCCAAACATGATGCGCTCCAACGATTTGGTGAAGGGTGAGAGCATTTTATCAAAGGCCTTCGCAATTTGACTTGGTAGTAAATCTTGTGTGAGATTCCTTGAGGAATGCTTTTGTTGCAGGGTGGGAAAAATTGGTTGTACTTCGTGAAGAGCATTTTGTAAATTGCATAGCTGTGAAAA